TTTCTGTCCGAAAACCATGATAGTTTTGGGCTCCCCCCCAAACTTCTGCACCAATCCTGGTACCTTTCTGGCGAACTGGGTGGCTTTCCCCCTTTGTCTGCATCCTGAGCCCTCCTCTCCTCAAGCCTCGCCGTCTGCATCGCTAGCTGGACCTCCAACATCTGGTACCTTTCTTCCAGGCTTGGACCCGCTCCAGCTCCTGCTTCTCCGGTTCCGGCTGGGTTGCTCATGATACCTTCTCCTGCACAAGCTGCTTTCAAAGACTGTCGGAATGCTGTGATGGGATGATGAGCTGCTTGTGCGTAAAATCGTATCCCCTCAGAGTTTGTTCAAGTCCACAAACCTCTGTCTGTGACAGAGCCCCTCAGACATGGCTACTCTAGTCACTAGCAGATTCCGACAGTGGTTGCTTTCGTAATCGCTTCCAACATAAAAGCTCCTTAACGGAAACACGTCTTCTGGAATCTCTGCGTGACAGTTTCCGGCGAGAGTGGGTGTTCTTACAGGAGGTCCTGAAACCTCTCCACTGTTTTCGCTGGAAGTGTCTCTGAGCCATCCCTCCAGCTCAGCTCCTCTCCCCCTGCTGGTTCCCTCATCAGCTGCTGCGTCTCTCCCAACCTGTGTGAGCCCTTTCACCTCCCTGTTGGTTTCCTCTTCAGCTGCTGCGTCTCTCCCAACCTGTGTGAGCCCTTTCACCTCCCTTCCGTCCAATGGCAGTTCCCTGACAGCTTGTATCTAAAATGTGAATGATATTCCTATGAACTTCAATCCTGATATTATGAATTTCTTTCCCTTCTAATTGGTATCCTCATATAACAAAATAGTAGCAATGTAGCAAAAATCTACATTGCCTGCAGCTGCAAGGCCACAAGGTCTTTCCTAAAATATTTTATGTCTTATACAACCGTCTGCAACCCCACCATCTTCCAGGTTCCTTGCTTCCTATTCTATTTCTGTTCTTTAGTTGGGCCTTTATGCCATGTCAGCAACTGCTTACAAATAAAAATAGTTGTGTGTGTAACAGTCCCAAATAATCCTGTTCCACCTGGCTGTATCTGAGGGAGAGGAGACACAACAAGGCCTGCTCCTTGACTAGGCCGGAACCAACTGCCATTTGCTTCTCCTGTTTCCCTCAGCCATTCTAGCTCACAGGTGGTGAACCTCAGGCTTGGTGGCCAAATGTGGCCATCTGGTCTCTCACCTGAACATGTCCTCCTGAAGTGCCTGGTTGGAATGTGTTCTTGAACTGTCATTAATGTCCCTTACTTGTATGGAGCAAAAATAGGAGAGGTGTGTGGCATGGGAAACATATGTGAGCATAGAAACATCTGACTTTCACATGACTGTACAAAGACAGCTGCCATTTTTCACATCTGGCCCTGCACACCGCTTGAATGTAGCCCCAGAAAGATTACCCATGAGGGAATGTGACCCCTCTTATGTGAGAAGTGGTACTGAATTGGTAGTAAATCTTCCTTCCCCAACTCCACCACCACTCCTTTTGTATCATGCTTGAAGGAAGATAGGATGCTCTCTTTTAGATGGACCACTTTGGTTGTTGCTTTCAGTCCACAGATAATGTGTAATTGATTACGTTTTCTCTTCCCCATTTGCATTGTGTTTCGTCTGCAGAGAAACAAATGCAGGGTGGAATAGCACAATGAGAACATAGTCTATCCACTTGATTATGTAACTCATGCAAGCCTCACAATTTTGCCACAGCAGACAGTGCAACAAATAATGCCCCTTTGGGGCAGGGAAATGAACTGCAACAGAAGAAAAACAGTGCTACAACGCGACATTACAGGACAACAGTAAATGGTGCCTTCTCTTAGTCCTACTTCTGAGTCATGTGAGGGAATCTGTGCACACAGAGCTGGTGCCACTTTTCAGATCTTTCCTTCCGACACAGTGCTGGCAGGGGGCAGCTGGGTGATGGGATGGTAGGGACAGGACCAGCAAGCATTACCCCACTTTCCTCGTCATGCAATTGTATTCATGTGACACATTACACCTGAACAAGGCAGACATCTATTCAGGCATAGGCAAACTTCGCCCTCCATATGTTTTGGGACTACAATTCCCATCATCCCTGACCACTGGTCCTATTAGCTCATGGGAGTTGTAGTCCTAAAACATCTGGAGAGCCGAGTTTGCCTATGCCTGATCTATTTGATTGCATGCAGTTATTATAAATTGTAAACTGCTTTGATCACAGCAATATATAAATTAAATAATGAGGACCAGTGTGGTCTAGTGGTTGGAGGGTTGCACTAGAACTTGGCAGTCTAGAGTTCAAGTCCCAACTTAGCCATGAAGTTTTCTGCATGAGCTTGGGCCAGCAGTCACTGCAATTGTGCAAATATCAGTCACAAATATAGGCGTCCCATGGAGAAGCCAGTTCATACAAATGGGGTTTGGCACACAATCCCCATCAAGTCATTATCCTGGTAGCAGTTCCACATATTCTTGCAGGCATTTACGTGGAGACCACTGAGAATTTAAACCTGGTCTTGGGCTGCTATGGGTCATGGGAAGAATTTGTGTTTCAGAAATGTAGAGGTGTCCAAGCAATTTAGAACGACCGATTAGCAAATATTGTAAGTATCCCTTCTCTTTTTCAGATCTATGATAATTCTAATATCTTGGACATTTATCAGCAATTTACATAGAATTGGCTATACTCTTCCTATTTAGGATCATATTTTGGTGTGTTTTGCAGTGCAATGTTTATAAAGAGAATATTTCTTTTGAATTCTTAAATGCCTTTCCAAATAATTATATGAAGAGCAAAGTTTAAAGGGTTTTTACATGCAACTGTCATCATCGTAATTAATTTCCAGTAATGCTTGATGTATGGAAAGTGCTATAGCAAGTAAATTGGACAGAAGCCTCCACTATTTGAAAGAAAGGAGGTTGTGAAAGGCTGCTGACTAATACAGCACTGACCTGAAAGCAAATCCTTACATTCACGCTGGACCGGCTGTTCCCATGACAACCATTGTTATTAGTAACTGAAAATGTATTGCTGTTAAGAGTGGCAGCATATTCCACCCCCCTCCCCACTCTCTCAGTTCAGTTGAATTCAAGCTTTACTTATGAAAATCAGGTACTCAGATCACAGCTACACGAATTCAGCGCACCTTCTTTTATCACGGTGCAAACTTTAGGGCTTATCCAGAAAATCAGTGAATATGTATACCCTGGTGTAGTTTTATATTTTAATAGAGAAACCCAGAAGTCTCTGTTCTAATATCATGATATCCAATCCAAAGTAACAGGCTGTGGGAGGGGAGGGAATTGGCACAGAACATGCGGGGCTATGTATGCGAGGAGGGGCAGGTGAATGTAGGAGATGCTTATATAATAGGGACTCACACCGTAAAATAAAAATAAAAATGCAGTGTCTAGAAACCATGAGGAAAACCAAATGCATGAAGAAAACCAACATTTTAAAATTAATTCATCACCACAGCAAAGGTTCCTTTACTAGCTGTAATTTCTTGCTGATAGTAAAATCTAATCTCTCTTGCCCCCCCCCCCGGTGCAAAATAAGTTACTTGCAGTCCACCAGTTCCCTCTCACACCTGACGTTCCCTTGGCATCACCACTGCTCAGGCCTTCATCTCTTTCACCATGTCCTGCAATTTTCCTTCTTTCCTCCTCCTCCTCCTCTCCTCTGTTAGCTGCTTCCAGTTATCCTTTTATTCTCTTCACCTCTCTCTTTCGCACAGTCAAATCTTAGCTTAAGAGCATAAGATGAGTCTTATTGGATCAGACCACCAAGTCCAACATTCTGTTCTCACAGTAGCCAACTAGATGCCCTTAGCTAAATAAGCCAGAATATGCACCAGTGGCATTTCTGGATACTCAGAAGACTCCAGAAACAAGCCCATGGCACACACGTGCATGCAATTTTCATATAAGAATGTATATGTATAAATATGCATATTCCCTGTTTAGGGAAGTTTTTAATGTTTGATGTTTTATCATGTTTTTAATATTCTGTTGGGAGCCGCCCAGAGTGGCTGGGGAAACCCAGCCAGGTGGGCCGGGTATAAATAACAACAACAACAGCAGCAGCAGCAGCAACAACAATGTAAATCTAAACTGACTTTCAGAGGGTGGGGGAAAACGCTTGGCTGTCAGGAGTGACCCTGAGCTTTGGGGTGGCAACAAGATTTTCTGGGCCTAGTTCGCTGTATGTGGATTGGGCCCTCCATCTCACTCATTGGCAAGTACAACTGCTGATTTACATTATAAGGCTAAAAATAAGTGCTGCTGGGGCAAATTAAGATGTTGAGTGGCTGGAGTCTTACTAACTGCACTTTGCAGTGTGTCCAATCATCCTGTAAGTGAAATAAAGGGGCGTTAAAGGGGGGAGGGAGCAGGAGATCTGGGCCTCAGCAAAAAACAACAGCCCAGGTCTCAGACCCCTAAAAATGCTCCTGCTGTGTATGTGCTCTCTACACCCACATGTAACCCTTTTGCTCAAGTGATTAAACAAACCTAGGATGGGATGATTAACCTGATGAGTTCTATCAGCAGAAGCCTTTTGCAAGGACTTTGGCTGATGTAGTGGGATCTTCCCCATCTCCTTTCCCTGTGGCCCCACAAAAATTGACTCTGGGGAGGTTGGAAGAACCCCCAGAAAAATGTGTGGGAGGAGGAAAAGTGTGAATGTTCCGTCTGGCAGTCTGAAACACTTGCACTCACAGAAGAATAAGAAAAATGTGACACTGAATTTCTCCCCAGGAAACCACAGCTAACCATAGTTTCTTGTTACATATAAACTGGGAAACTATGGCTAATGGCTTCCCAACAAGCTAGGATATGAAGCCATAGTTTCCAGTTGTCTTCCAGATCTTGGCTTGATTGAAAGTCATTAATATAGCTTTTAGTTCACATGTAATGAGAAACTATAGTTAATTGCAGCTTCCTGTATTATACCTACACCTGTCTAGACATGGACATTTATCATCCACACTACCTCACTCACCAAAATTTCCATGATTAGACAGGTGTGGACATAATGCATGGGAGATGTTTGTTGTAGTACTGGAGAGACTGGGTCCACAGCCCTCTAGGAGGTAAGTAAAACATAAGTGGCCTTATGTTTGAGACCAAGGTTGACGATCAGTAATGAAAGAGGACTGTTTTGAAGGTGAAGGGCAAAAGTAAGATCAGGGTCTAACCAGGGTTGAGCAACTGGGCCTGGTAACTGAGAAATCTATCCAAAGGCAATAAGGCAAAACTCTCTGATCCAAAACTCAGGTACTATACAGCACTTTAGCATTGCAAGCTACCTGGGCAAAAAGATGAATGCATTTCTCACACAACTGCTTTCTAGCAGTTATTCTAATTCTTAAGTGGGTGGGGAGAAATCCTGACCTAAATCAAGCAGAATATATTATTTCTTATCTTGGCATATAGACTGCAGTGTAATAAATAATGAGAAAGATCATGTACTTGATCTGACCCACAGAGGCAGATATGAGATTTTAAGCTACTGCCTGCACATCTTCCTTAAAAACACATTGTGGACCTGATTTGAAAGAATGAGGCTGTAAAATATCCACCAGGTTGATTTAGGTCACAGAGAGATTTTTAAAGGTTATGATAGTCAAATAAAGCCTATAAAATGTCATGGTTTGGTATGAAGAGGTTGGCTTCTGAGTTTTGTTCTATAACTTCTCTGGAGCCTGAAGTCAGCTCTTGAAAATGAATCACCACAGCATCTCCATTGCCTAGATCCATTCTCAGACACCACAAACCCACTTCAAGAGTAGTGTAGTGAAGCAGAAGCGGAGGGGAAGCTCAGCTAGTACTTTTTTCACAGCAGGAGTGATTGTGTATTCTGCTGGAACATTATTTGCAAGTGTTGCAAGCTTTGGAGTTTGGAGGACAGATCTGGCCTGGGACAAAATCCCTTTGTTAAATTTACAAATAATAATAATATTAATAAAAGTAGGTTGGCTCAGACAGTGACTGGTCCAAGGTTGCTCAGTGAACTTCATGGCTGATTATGGAACTGAACCCAAGCAACAAAGTTCAACATGCTAACCACTATCCCACCCTTTATTGGATCATTCTCAATTATTCTTGGAAATGTAGCTCTGGTGGTGGGATATGACTCTGGGGACAGATGTGACAAGCTCCTGCACTTCAAAATTTAGCAGTATGTTGTTTCAGAACATGTGTACAGTGGTACCTCGGGATGCGAACGGGATCCGTTCCGGAGCCCTGTTTGCATCCTGAACAGAATGTAAGACGTGACTGCACGTCTGCGCGTGTGCGGGTCGCGTTTCACCGCTTCTGCACATGCGCGTGATGTCATTTTGATCGTCTGCGCATGCCCGAGCGGCAAAACTCAGAAGTAACGCGCTCTGTTACTTCCGGGTCGCCGCGGAGCGCAACCCGAAAATACTTATCCTGAAGCGTATTTAGCCCGAGGTATGACTGTATTAAGTTAGATTCACCTTGCAATGTTAACTGAAGCAAATATATCCCCCATTCCTACTTCCCACATTGATGAGATGTATTTCTCTTTAAATTACAGTATACCCCCCTAAATTTGCATCTATACATATAAATTAGCATATGCTAATTTTGTGCACAGACGTTCCCTGTTTTGTACACTTTTGTGAAGCAAAAGTGGCCACCCTATTTACAATCACAAACCATGTTTTCAGTCAAAATTTCACCATGTTTCTCTTCCCATTTCCCTACGGGAGGTTCAAGATTTATGTGTACTCTTGTAAATATCTGAAACACTGTGAGGTGAAGAACATAGCTAGTAGGGCACGGAGTAATTACCCCTACTTTAGAAACATACACTTCCAATCAAAATCACAATCTCCTATAATTTTAAACATCTATACAGGTGTGTATATGTGTGTGTACTTTGTTACTTGCCACAGCAAGGAATTTGAAGCAAATAACCTTCTCTGGGCTCAGAAAGTGACAACTACTTGTAACATCTGTAATTAGTGTGTGTATATAGTGGTGTATGTTTGTGTTGGTCTAATAAAGGCAACTCTTATAGCAGCTGATTTCTGTGGTGAGCTTCACCACTTGACAAAGCTTCCGTGGCACACACAGCAGACACCCAACAAATACAGGGCAGTTTAGACATAGTTTACAACACTTGGTCAGAAAAACACTGGGGCTGCATTTGCACATCCTGGTTTGTTTGTTTGAATGAAACAAACCATGGTCCCTGGTTGATGCAAAATGCTACGCCAAGGATTGTATTTCATTTCCTCCACATGCTAGTAGGTATGGTCAAAACAGTCCAGATTGGAGTGTTCGCAGTTAAACATTAATTGATGTGGAAACTGGGCTAATACTTAGAACAAAAAGCTTTTTCTTGTTGGAGAATAAATCTATTAAATGCTGCATAGATGGGAGTTAAGACATTTTGGGATGATGTGTTAGAAATCATATTCTGAGCTGTGGACTGGAAAAAAGATTAGGTGTTGGTTCTGTTGTGTTGCTTAAAAGATACTGTAAGTGCAAAAGAAAATGATTTTGTTATACAAAAGAATAAAGGGACACAAATAAGAAATTAGAAATGACAATATTCAAAAACCAGTGGGGGAACATTTCAACTATGCTGTTGCTTGGGTCAACACTTAATGGATCACAAAAAGTTTATGCCATAAACTTTTAGGTGCTACAAGGCTCTTTGTTGATTTCAATGCAAAAAAAAGTCCCTCTGGAAATTGATTTTGTTATGAACTTATTAATATTTATTCATCGATCAATACTGGCAGTTTTTGAAAATTAAAGCAATGCCCTCATAAAAATGAATAGTTGGAGACAGTCTGTTAAGAAGGTAATACTTGTCATTTTATTCAGTCAAAGAATTGAAATGTTGGCACAAACTTTCTAATCTTAATTGATGGCTGTGATGTGTTCTGAAACACTAACTGCATTGTTAATTAAATCCCAGGTAAATGTGACTTTGTACCTTTTTATCTGTGTATGGGAACGTGAATAAAATATTACTTAAAAGCGGGATATTTTTGGCACATACTGATAAAAGTTTCATACCTTTGTACAGAGAAGTCCGTCTTCATCCACCCAGTCCACAGGTCCCCAATCTAAAATGGTTATGCATTGCTGTTGACAACTTTGTATATTTTGGGAGCCACCTTGAACACAATTTATTGTATGGAAATGCAGCACACAAACGTCTTTAATCTAATATTGTTGAATGGATGCACCCAATTTGGCATGTGGAAGGAATCACTATTTAACTATGTGCATGGCTTGCGAGCCAGCTTGCTTTTGACATCATTCTTTCTATTTCTGATGTTTAGGTTGTGAACACATTTGCTTATTTGCCAAAATATTACCATGTACACGCAAAAAAGAGGTCTTACAGATGGTTTGTGTGTGTGTGTGTGTGTGTGTGTGTGTGTGTGTGTGTAAACCCTAAGGTTGTAAAAGTACAAGAAATCCCTAAGGGGTGGGGACCCCAATCAGGAATAAGACATGCTCAGAAGCTGTGGAATGTTTGCTGATTATTCTGGGGGCTGGGGCTGGAAAAACAAGTGGAGGTGGACATGGCTGGCTGACTGGAACAGGGAACAGAACTCCACATTATAAGAGGTTTTTTTTTACTGCGGGTCCTGCATGTGCCACTGCTTAACTTGTTTTCAGCAACTTTCAGGCTCAACACATAGTGAAAATTTACCTGACGCCATGTGATGATTTCCGCATGGATTAACTTTAACCCACATTCCAACTCTACAATTCTATAATTCTTAACACAGCCATTTGCCTTTGTGAATTGACACTTTAACTGATGTATAAGGATTCTTCAGAAATCCAAACCCCCACAATCTACCCTGAAAAACAACCAATTGTGCATGCAGCCAAGAGCTCAACCTAGCTCAGCAGAATAGCATCTGTCTTCTGTACATTAAGAAGACCTTTCTATTGTACAAACCAGCTTGCAAATTGCAGTTGCATATACAGACAGCAAATAAGTTATGATCAACAATTAGATGCTGAAAATTACATCCTTAATGCATTACATTTAATATCTATTTGGAAAAAGACCTTTAGGTTCTTAATTGGCACTTTCTGGAATAACCATAGCTTACTGGCTAGCTAGATACCAATTCACATACTTATTTAATATCAATTAACACATTCCGTAATTTGAAACCTAATTAGCTTGCTATAGCTATTCTATCAAATGGCAATTAAATGCTTGAAATTTCTAACAAGTTGGCTGTACGAAGATAATTAAGTATGCATTCGCTTAAGTAATTTTTTACTTAATTACATCACAAACTAATTTTGGCTACATGTATTAGACCTTTCAATAAATGGAGCTTTATCAATCAATTGGCATCTAATGAACCCATTATTTATTTTCTGCCCATGATTGAACCGTCTCTTTGCTATTTTTCCTTTAGATTCCTATTACAATAGTACTGTAGAGTTGACATTGTTCATATTCACAGTCTGGAGTTTCTTTTCATTTCTTGAACATTCTTCCTGACATTGTTGCCTCAGTGCTGCTTTTATTATCTCCCTGTCAAAAGACATGCATGGATAGATGGCGTCTGCTTGTTTAACTTCACTGAGTCAAGCAATAGTATACAGATTGGGTCTTTTCCTCCCAGAGCCTAACCTGTTGTTGTTGTTTAGTCGTTTAGTCGTGTCCGACTCTTCGTGATCCCATGGACCAGAGCACGCCAGGCACTCCTGTCTTCCACTGCCTCCCGCAGCTTGGTCAAACTCATGTTCATAGCTTCAAGAACACTGTCCAACCATCTTGTCCTCTGTTGTCCCCTTCTCCTTGTGCCCTCAATCTTTCCCAACATCAGGGTCTTTTCCAGGGAGTCTTCTCTTCTCATGAGGCGGCCAAAGTATTGGAGCCTCAGCTTCAGGAAGAGCCTAACCTATATGTCTTCAAAGTGCAGTGCTGCTCCCTTGAAGATCATTCAGGGCCAGCCCTACCATTGGAGTGAAGCAGCTGCAGGGAGCGGACAAACTGGGTGTCCATGCAGCCTGCTGTGTGCCCCTGAGCCTGCTGCCTTAAGGAGAAGAGAAGGAGGCTGTCCTGTACTGAAGTAAGATTCAGCTACTAATCTAGTTGGCTTTTGTACAAGGAATGGGGTGAAGGAACCATTTGCCTCAGGCAGCAAAATGTCTTGGGCTGACTCTGAGAATTCTACATAGAGTGAATTCCTACCAATTTGCATGGGTGCCTTCTTCTTCATGTAAATTACGCAGGAGGGGTCTCTTAACAACTC